TTGAGGTGGAAGTAGCAGACAAGAAGGATGAAAGTGATCATGGAATCCCGTAGTTGACAATTTTAATGAAATTGAGTGTAATGAGACATGTTTTGGACTTCAGAACTATGAGCAATGATAAATAGGATCCAGTGGCATGATAATGCAGACAAAATGGGTGGATATTCCTAAAGATGATGTTAGTTTTTTGCAGCAGGTCTGGTCAATGATTGCAGAAATACAACTGTATTATAGGTTATCAAAACAGAATCTTGAGAGCATGCCAAGAATTTCTCTTTTGCCTCTTAAACAGGGTCAAAGCAGTGTTATTTTGAATTTCTTATATTTTCCTCTTCCAGGACCAAATTGACATTAACACCTCGTTCGCTCTCGCTCTCACGCACACACACACAACTGGAAACAAATTTCTAAAATCCATACAGGAAATGAAAAAAGAACCAGATCATAAAGCAAGAGTAAAAACAGATTATCTTGTTCTGTAGAGCTTGTGCCAGGAATCCAAAAACAGATTTGTAAAAAAAATAATAATGCTAGGAATAACAAAGAATTAAGTATATGCCAACTAAAATACAAAGAAAATAATTAGTATACGGGCTGTTTAGTGAAACCAGGGAGCAGTGAATCCAAAAAGACTCCCAAATTATGAACCAGCTCCTTTAAGGGAAGCACAACCACATCAAACTAAAGTTGGAATAGTCCCAGGATCAGTTGACTTCTGGATCAGCAGTCAATGCATCTTGTTTGGATTAAGCTTCAACTTATTCTTCGCCATCCAAATCCATACATCCTCTGAACACCAAGTCAAAATATGTGTTCAGTCTTGGGTAGAGATGTATAATTGAGTATCATCAACATAATGACAGCACGGTATCAGATTACCTTTTCCAGTGGTTTCCTGTAGATATTCAACAAGAGAGGACTAAGCCCTGAGGTGCCATATATTGGAGTGCCCAAAGGCTGAACCTTCCCCCCCACACACACACACACTGATTTAGGAAGTAGCTGAACCTCCATAAATTGTGGCTCTAATCCCCAACCTTTGCAAATCATCAGAAATGTACTATGTTCAATTCTACTGAAGATTGTAGAACAATCCAATGTAGTAATAAGGTTGCACTTCCACTACAGATTATCAATGAAATTTACTAATAAAGTTTATCTCCAGTACCCAGGTCTAAATCCTGGCTGCAACAAATTAAGATAATCTGCTTCTTCTACTGAGCTTGTAAGCTTTGCCCTACCATCTTTCCCAAATATCTTTTCCATAAAGAGGAGTTTAAAGAGTCAGCAATAGTTATCTGTCATCACTGGATCCAGGATCAATCACTTGAGAAGGAGGCACATCAAGGACAAGATATTCACCATCCTTCCTGTCACATCTTTGGCAGCCTATTCAGAGCTCTGTCCACCCTTTGAGAAACAACAAGTTCAAATTCTTCCCCAATGACATCACAAATTGGTTGTTCTATGTTTATCAGTGTATTCTTGCCTACAGCAATATTAAATGATAAGTTAAAACTGCTCTTAATAAACCTCCCCATTATTTACTTAGAACTCAGGAACTGATCAACAATTTTAATTTAGTACCATAACAGACAAAAAAAGAACTGTACTCTCCTATTTGCAAGTATTTTATTTTTAAACTTGCAGTAGATTTAAATAACTTTTTATTTAGTATGGTGTAGGTAAAGCATAACCTAATGACAAAAGAGTAAAAGAACAAGGATGGATATGGGTGACCATTACATTTTGTAAAGTACAAACTTGCAATAATTTTGAATACATTTGAAGTTGTTATTGGTGATTAGGGCTCTTGCTAAAGTGATTTGAATAAGAAGCTAACTTGAGTAAAATTGCAGAGGTAAGAAATTCATGGCCTTTATTAATGCCATGATTATCCAAGCTACATATATTTCAGTTCTATCTGAAAGTGGGGGCAAGTGAGATGCTTAGAATATTTTAGGAACTGATTACTAGAAGGGTCATCAGTTCTTCAGATCTGAAAGTTTGATTTGATTGAGTGCACTTTTCAACTGCAAATTTATCTTTTATTGTTCACTATGCATTTGAAATGGCTTTTACACAATATATAACCTTATATTTATTTATTTATTTATTTATTTATGAGACTTATATACCGCTTTAAGTGCAAGCACTCTCTAAGCGGTGTACACCAGTAAGCAATGTATATATATATTTACATTGCCCCCAACAATCTGGGTCCTCATTTTACCTACCCCGGAAGGATGGAAGGCTGAGTCAACCTTGAGCCGGTGAGATTTGAACCACTGACCTGCTGAACACAGTCAGCTAAAGTGGCCTGCAGTACTGCACTCTAACTGCTGCGCCACCTCGGCTCGTTCTTATATTTGAGTGGTGTGGGGCCTCCCTCTCAAGCAGATTTTTTTTCTGTATTTAGAAGAAGCTGCTTATCTGTCAGTTCTCTCCTAAAGAGTCACATAAGGACAGCAGCATTTAAAAGAGACACAGACAGAGAGAGAAACATTAATTTAAATACAATTAAATTAAAACCATACAGGGAGAGAAGGAGAGATTTATCATATGACTGGTCAAATTTTATGTGAGGTTTTTGGTATTCTTGGAATTTTCTAGCATTTTTGGACTTGTCTTGGTCTAGGATGCTCACATCTTCCCAGCTGAAACTATGATTAAGTCTGCTCATGTGTTATGAATTTTCATCATGTCTCTTACTGCTAATTGGTATTCACAGATGCATCTGCTACTTTTGTGCCTTTTTGTCTTACATGGCAGCTGTTACAGTTTTATATGCTATAGATCAGGAGTGTCAAACTGCTGGCCCACGGGCCAAATGCATCATAACGAAACCGCGCCTGCCCCATTGCCGGCAATGGCAAAAATATTGCGATACATCGTGACACATAATGTGACGTTGCGAGTTTGACACCCCTGCTATAGATGATTTCTCTTTTTTTTTCTGAACTGCTGGGTCTTTTAGTTCAGGGCTTTTCAACCAGTGGTACGGGTACCACCTGTGGTACATTGGCACCTGGCAGGTGGTACGTGACCATCCTAGAAAAATGGTAGCAGGGGAGGGGAATGAGCTGAACCTGTGGCAGCACTGCACAAGCCTGAGTGAGAGATGGCTGGAGCTGCAGGGCTGTCAGGGCTCAGCAGAAGCGCCAGGATCAGTGCCACTTTCCAGCTGATCGGCACTTCTTTGGGGCTGTCATAATAACAATGTTCTATGATAGTTTTTTTTCTGGAGAATTAACAATGTTAATTGATGATCAGGTAATGAAATGCAATGCTATTTAGCCAGCCCTTAATTTCCTCGTGACTTGGATCATCCCTTGCTTACCGTACAGATTATTGTGACAATAGGAGAAATGAAGTCTGGGCTATTATTAAGGTATAGGCACTGAATTTTCCCCATGCTATATTTAGTTTCTGTTAAGAGATGAGCTTCTGGCTCTGATCATCTGTGAAAATGTCTTGGTAAATCATATTCTTTGATGTTTACTTGATCTCCATATTTTTAACTTTTTATTTATAAGAACAATAAAATAAAAAGATGTTAATTTTTTGTAAAAGAATCATTCTGTGGTGAGATGGGTGGCAAACAAATTTAATAATAATGAAAAAGTGATTGGCATTTTTGCATGTTGCTGGAAATACTTTATGGGAATAAGAAAATCAGTGGTCTTTATCATAATGACTCTATATTACCTCTGTGATGATTGGATAGTGGAACTATTACTGAAAGCATGGTGATTTTGGGCACTTCCTCCCAATTTCAGATGGAAAGGGGCCTGAAGAGAGGGATTTCGGAGGATTGGACTAAGGAATGCTCAAGCATAGGAAAGAGTGCTAGGTGGGAAATATACAGGGGAAGGGGGCTTGTCTTACTGTATCTCAGACAGACCAAACTGGCCAAATCTTGCCAGTTCTTCCCAGGAGCCCCTGAATAGATTGTATGTGTGGGAGAAAGAGAGAGAGAGAATCAATTTTGAGTTAATAGGATGTAGATGATACTATGCCAACTTTAAAACTGCTTGTTCCATTGAGTCCAACTGGACATTTGGCTGTATTTCAGTCTCATGTCATCAGTTAATTTGAGATGCCCTGTTATGAGCATTAATGTCCTGCTATTCCTCCCACGCCTAAAAGCAGAACTGCAAATTCTCTGCTTGGTTTACAAAATTATTTTTAATTGTATTTCAGTGCAAAGCAAGCCAAATAAAAAAGGAATGAAATGTTCAAATATAATTTGAATATCGATTCTGAAAGATTGTGTACATTTTTAGATATTTTGTAATATTTGACATGGTATCACTGATGAACATACATATTTTCATAGTGAGGAATTCTGTGCCATAAAAATAACAGAATAAGAGTTGGAAGGGACCCTGGAGGTCTTCTAGTCCAACCCCCCTGCTCAAACAGGAAACCTTATACTATTTCAGACAAATGGTTGTCCAATATCTTCTCAAAAACCTCCAGTGTTGGAGCACCCACAACTTCTGGAGGCAAGTCATTCCACTGATTAATTGTTACAACTGTCAGGAAATTTTTCCTTAGTTCTAGGTTGGTTTTGTCCTTGATTACAGTAGTTTCCGTCAATTGCTTCTTGTCCTGCCTTCAGATGCTTTAGAGTGTAGGTTGACCCTCTTTTCTTTGTGGCAGCCCTTCAAATATTGCTGTCATGTCATTCCTAGTTGCCTTTTCATTAAACTACAGATACCCAATTCCTGCAACCATTCTATTCACTAAATATTACTAAATATTCACTAAATCCTACATTCTAACAAAGTAAAGATAATGATGTAATAATTAGGCAAGGCATTCTGTTCCCATTTGGCTGATCTGTGGCTAACAGTGCTAACTAGTGTTGAAATATCTCAACATTTAAGAGCGAGGGAGTATTTTAAGTTAAAAAAAAATCAACTTCCAAAACATAGCAAACTATTAGAATAAAAATTATTAATAGACCATATATTCAAAGCTGTAGCCAGCTGCAATTAAGTTTCTTTTCTTTAATTTTTTAAATAAAATCATTGTTAGCAGTATAATTGCACTGGTGCAGTGCTAGCAGAAAGCATAAAAAAGCTAGCAGACAAAAGCGAAAATTAAACATTTCTGAATAGCAGGAGAGGCACTTATAGTTTTCTTTCTAAACAAGTGCTTTGTGGTTGCATGTGCATTAGAAGAGAGCATGGCTATTTAAATAGAAACACAGAAACAAAATAATGGAGGCAGTTGGAGGCACAATGGAGGTGTCAACTTTGAAAATGAGCATGGCTGCAGCGATTTTCCCTACTCATTTTTGGTTGACACATAGCACGGAGGAAGGGGGGTTTACCAGGTGTTTCACTAGACTAAACAGATTTTCTCCCGTGGAAACGAAGGTCATCGGCTGTTCCCAGGACTGCAGGCTGGACATTTCGTGAAAAGGCCGCCAAGAAGATGAATGGGGGAACATAGTAGCTTGCATAGCTTTAGGGGTGGGATTTCTTAACTTTGTATTAGGGATTGTTATGTGTCTATTCAGACTTGGTTTCACTTTTGACGTGCTGATACTTTGTATCAATAAACATGTTCTTTGAGGAATTTGCAAGCCTCAGAGTTCTGCTTTATTTGTCTCTATCTGTCGGAACCACGACAGGAGGCACATATTGGTCAATAGATACCTGTGATAGTGAAATAGTGAAATATAGCAAGAGTAATATATACAATTCAGGGGAAATCAACATCTTTCCAAATATACGTCATTACTGGAATAGCAGGGGAACAAGCATAGTCTAATGGCTCTAATATGATCTGTACCCTGTCCACCAAATGATTATCAAGTATTCAGTGCATAGATGCTGCAAGATAACTAACCAATCATAACTGAGGCCGTAGATTTTATATATTTGTCTTATAATACTAAAAGCATTCCATAGAAACTGAGATGGCTTTAATTTTGCTTCTGTTTTCCAAATATAGCAGAAAATGTCAGTGTTGAAGAATTCTCATCTGCTGCATATAGAATTTGCATAAAATCCATGATACAAGATAACACTTCCCAAAGGTTTTCTTTTCTTTTCTTCCTAGCAAGCAGATGAGAAGGATCCTGGCAATTGAGGTACCTTTTATTTTAGCTTTTCTTATTCGGCTTTGTGCCTCCTTCTCTTCTTCCTCCTCCTCCTCCTCCTCCTTCTGTGTCTTTTACATGGTTATTCATTCTCTATTTTCATCCTACTCCCAATGCATAAGGTCCCATTTATTGAATAAAAAGTAATATTGATTATAAATCATTTTTTTCTCTTTCTTTCTTTTGGAAAGAAGGGTTTGGAAGTGTTTGCGTCTAGACAACTGAAACACAAATCACATCTGTAGCCTTTCTTCCTCTTCATCCTGAATCTCTTCTTTGGAAGGTCCCCGGATTACAACATTCTCATGTTTAGGTTGGAATGTATTTTCTGTCTCCCTAAAAATTAAACATAAAAGGATTAATTCAGTGGATGGTTTTTTTAATTAAAAATAGTTATAATAATTACTGCACTTATTTATTTATTAAACTTCTATGGTGCGCCTATCACCTAGAAGCTATTCTAAGTAGTTTGCAATAATCAACTCATAGAATCATTATTGAAGAACATTTAGAAGGACAGCTCTGTTAGCCTATTGTAGCCAAAAAAAATAGAGTCTAGCAGCATCTTTTCAGATTCAGAGTAATAGTTTGGGAAATTCTTGAAATATTAGGTAATTGAGGCTCCAAACTCAATCAATACCAAAGAGGGTGGAGACAGGCAAGGAAGGAGACACCTAATGAAACCAGTTTCTGCGGTCCTTGGTGGTCTCTGAGCTAGATTGTTTTTTTGTAGATGTTTCATTACCAAACTAGGTATAATGGCACTGATGATGTTACCTATTTTGGTAATGAAATATTTACAAGAAACAAGAAAATAATCAAGCTCAGAAACCACCAAAGAGCACACAGTCCAACCCCGAGCTACAAATATTATCTTCTAAACAAAGAGAAACAAAGGAGAGAAACAAAAAGAACAAGTGTGACAAATGGAAAGAAGACCACATAAGAAAAGCAAAATATGAGGAAATGGTCTGAATCTGCAAGGATGGTATCTAAGGCTCAGCATAAGATCATGCTTGCTATCAATGCCAAAAATCACAAACAAAAAGAATCCTTTAGCTATCTCCAGAAGAAGAGGAAAGTCAAGGAAACAGCTGGTCCACTTGTTGGAGGAGATGGCGAGAGGATGACAGACAACAAAGAGAAAGTTGACTTGCTTAGTTCTTACTTTGCAATTGCACAAATTGAAATAGCAGCCCAAATTGTCAGAAGTAGCATTGTGAGGAGTGGACAAGAAATGTAGATCAGAATAAGTATAAAATTGGTAACATAGCTAGTACTGTGGAATGAATTCAAGTCTCCTGGGCTAGATGAATTAAATCTCAGGATGTTCAAGGAAGTGAGAGATGTAGCCACTAGCTAAAGTATTTGAGAAAACCTAGAGAACAAAGGAAAAGAACCAAATATTTAAGAAAGTGGGGAGAAGTGAGCCCAGGAAACTACAGACCAATGAGTTTGACATTAATACCTGGGAAAATTCTAGACAAGATAATTAAGCAATGGGTTTGTAACACTTAGAAACAAATAGAGTGATTACTAGAAGTAAAATTGATCTATTAAAAACAGGTGATACCAAAAAAATCATATTCCTTTCTTTGATGAGATGATTAAATTAGTTGACCAAAGGAATGCTGTGGATGTAGTACACACTGACTTCTGTAAGGCATTTAATACAGTTAAGCACTGTATCCATCTTGATAAAGTGGAAAAATGTGACCACCATACAACCATAGAAAATATGATCTTTAGTGGGTCTTTATCTATATCGAATGCTTTAACTGACAGTTTATAATACACTGGGATGAAGTGGTGTGGGAGTTATTTAAGTAAAAGTTCCATAGGAGTCAAATTACAACTATATTATGAAATAACATTTGTAATATGTCCAAAGCCCATTGTGTTTGTTTAGGCCTTCTGAGATAGCCTGAAACCTGTTGATGCACTTAAACTCAATTTGGCCTGTTTGACTTACATAGAATCCAGAGGGGTATTGCTGGCAAATAATGGCATATATCACATTAGAAAAAGAACATGTAAAAATGCCTTTAACTTTGTGTATGAAGTTTTGGGATTTGCAACAAGCCCAAATGTTTATATCTGTGATATTGGTTCTCAACCTTGGCAGCTTTAAAAAAATGTGGACACCAAAATTCTGGCCGTTGAATTCTGGCAGTTGAAGTCCAGACACCTTAAACTTCCCAAGTTTGAGAAACACTGCTCTACACTAATAAAGTAGCACCATCGCAAACCCCAGCACTTTTGCACAAAATAATTTACAGACACAAATTTGATATCGGGATTCAAAACAAGGACAAAGTAGTAGCAAAACATTTTAATCTCATGAAACATTCCATTACAGATCTCAAAGTAGCAGTTTTAGAACAAAGAAGCTTTACCAGCACAAACGAGTGAGAGAGAGAGCAGTTACTGTAAATAAGCTGATGATGCAGTATTTCTCTACACTCCCACTTCATCCCACTGTATTTTAAAATAAAATAAGTTAAACCACTGCATGCATCTGATTAAGTGAGCTGCAGCTCACAAAAGCTTATATCTTAAAATAAAATGTGTTATTTTGAAAAGATGCTACCGGACTCATTCTGCTTATTGCAGAACTGGAATTGCCAAACCAATTTGGCAATTTAATTTGCTGTAACTAAATCCTGTATTCAGAGGGACTTGGTAAAAAGAAAGCTACAATTAAGTTTGCAGTTCCAAGGCCAATACTTCTTAAGTAGTTCTCTCTTGGACAAGCATTAAAAAGTAGATATGTCACTATTAAGAAAACATTAAATTAATCATTTCAGTTTCCTTAATTCAATCAAATGTGCTATACAAATATTTTTTTTTCTTGTGTTTATTTTGCTTTATATTGTTTATCTGTCAAGCAATTCTTGATCCTTTGTGCTCTTCTGTCTTTCTCTGTTGTTTATTTAACCAGTGTGCCTTTTGTATAAATTAAATCAGATTACTTAGAAACATGCCAAGAAAATGAATAGAGAGGTGGGGCTGGGGAGAAGTAGTTAAATTTTTTTTGGTGTATTCATATACTCAAGATGTTTGATGAATTCATTTATGCAACTCATGCATATCCAAATGTGCAAAAGGTAAAAATGTATTCTACGCTTTTTAGGTAATTGTTAAAATCTGAAACCTTCAAAGTGGCTTGGGACTACATAATGAGAAGTATGTGTTACCAAGTGGTTTGCCAATTCTAAAAAGTAGGGAGCGGCGAGTAATTTCTATTCCAAACAATAACTAAATACGTTCTTATCTGATAAATTTCAGTGTGACAGAATGAAAGATTTTCCTATATTCTTAATATTGTCTTTCAGCAGTTATATTTATATTATCTAGAATAAGCTAAAAGAAAGTCTGGAGTTTTATAATTGGCTTTAAAAGAATGGAAATTTATCACTCAGACCAAGCTTTTCAAATATGTTGAGGGCCATATGCCAAAAGTGAAATGACCTTTCAGCCTGATGTACAAGGGGACTGTTTGGAACACAGAATGTACCTGAAAGATCTCAGGTACTACTTTAATTGCTTAAATTAAGAACCTTTAAGAGCTGCATAAAAAGTGCTTTTCAAAAATCTATTTCTAACTTCAAGAATGATATTGTAAAATAATTTCTAAATTACTATTTTTATTTGATTCGTTCTCCTTTTAGATGTCATAGCTTTTTTCCTGGCAGAATAGATTTATCTCAAACAATTGGTTTATCATTACTACACCTCCTGCCCCCCCCCATAAAGCAGTAATATATTACATCTGAATAGTATAATTTTAAGAAGAATACTTGAAAGCTAGAAAATGTTTTATGGAACGGGAATTAAAATCCACCAATCATTTATAAAGGAAAAGATGCATAGATAGTTTTTAACAATGCACTTGATGAAAGTGCTGAAAGACTGTGCTTGGTTTTGCTATATCAGGCATGAGCAAATCTGTAGGTATAGAATAATATGGTAGTGTCAGAGTCAGGAAAATACTGGCTAAATTTTAATTCACAATATGCAAATTTCCCATTATTACAAGCCATACTGACATTACTAAGCTTTATTTAGCCCAACTGTGAACAGTGCTGCAAATAATCTTAAGGGAAAAAAAACTAGGTGTGAAATTTATACCCTGCCTCTAAAATAGACAGTCTCTCTCTCTCTCTTCCTATCCCATCTCACCCCCACATTTTTTACCAAAGGACACTCACGTTGCCTCATAGTCCTGATTCTTTGATTTCCTACAGCAACAACAATAAACCAAAACACTTATGATAATGATAGCAGCAAGGATCCCACCAACGATCCCAGCATAAAGAGCAATGTTCATGGATGCTGTAGAAAGAAAAGAGTAGCTGTTAGTTATCACAGAACCAATAAGCCCTTCTGCTGTGTTTTGGAAAAGACATTTGTTAAGGATTTGAACATGTTTAAAAATATTCTCCTGAATATCAGCAGAGTACTAAAGAAAGTTGAGTAATTAAGCAGCAGAACTTTCCACAAAAAGAATAAAAACTCAGGGTACGGTTTGCTTGGGTGTAGAGCAGTGTTTCTCAACCTTGACAATTTTAAGGCATGTGGACTTCAACTCCCAGAATTCCACAGCCAGCAATGCTGTTCACCTGTCGCTTCTGTAGCCGGATTTTGAATGGGGACCCCTATTCTACTGCATTTTTTAAAATGTGGATGTCAACCCCCAAAATTCTGAAAGTTGAATTCTGGCATTTGAAATCCAGACATTTTGAAGTTCCCAGGTTTGAGAAATGCTGCTCTACCTTAATAAAGGGAGGAAATACAAGAGTGACAGAATTTATCTTTTACTTTTAAACACAGAGAATCATTTAATTAATACCAGACCAGGTGAGAAATATTTAAAATGGGTGAAATGAAGTTAGGGAAGAAAGTTGACATGTGGGCATGATTGGAATCTTCCATATCATTTTTAAAATATGATTTTTTTTCACTGTACTTCCAGTATCATAGTGGCCAGGAATTTTTGTCATTATTTATAATGGGAGCTGAGAGACTGCTATAAACTGCCCTTGATAAAGAAGTTAATTGAACAGAATCTAGAGCCAAATCTTTTTGTTTATGCATTCCATTTTGTTCATTGGCATTCTGGTAGATGGAACATAATAGGTTGCACAGACAAAATGCATCTAGACTTTTCATCTGACAATACCTTCTTCAGACAGTTACTAAATGTGCTGACATGTCCTTAATTGTGGAGCCACTGCACAGTTGTTTAGTTTAGTGAAAAAGTAGAAGCAAACAATAAAATAGCTCCCTTTTTTCCCCATGATGAAAAAAACCCCACAATTTGAAAAATGTTTTGGGTTAAACTTCTTTTTAAAAGCTATATTTCATCACTTATATTAGTACTCCAGAATAAGTATAGGCTGAAACAAACAAAAAAAGTTAAACCATTTACAAGTATTTTTTTTTAATTAGGGAAAGTCTGTTATGGCTCAAAGATGTGTAATTGGCTCACCTACATAACATATAACCATAAATACCACAAAATATACCTCTTAGAGGCAGAAAAAGAGCTCTGCTGTGGACAAAACATAAATAGAGGATGGTCTGATAATGTCATCTAGGAAGGCCTGTAAAAAGTGAATGAGCAAGAGTCTGTGCTTAATTGTAGGAGAGCACTCCAGAAGGCAACTGCCAGTAAAACATGTAATTCTTATTGTGAGCTATTCTGCCTGATCTAAAAAAACTTATGGGCTTATTTTATCCATGTGGTGTTCTCTTCTATTTTATTCTACTCCGTCCAAGCATCTCCAAACACTTACGAGGTCGAATAATAACCGTGATATTGCATTTGTTCTCTCCAACAATGTTCTGGGAAAGGCAGATGTAGTATCCGGTGGTGTTTATAGAAATGTTGTTCAGCATTAGCACTCCTGGTAGAAAACAAGAAAAATGGTCCAATCACATAGCAAAGTTCAAGCAGAAAAATATTTTTTTTCACTATTTCTTACTTTACCATATATAAAGTCAGTTTAGCATGATGATCTCACAGCAGATGTATAACCCCATAAAACATGATTCAAGGAATCCTAATAATGAAGTTCAATTGCTATGTTTGTTGACCTCATTTGCAATCCTTCTAAAATCTTTTAGCACACCAGCTAAGAAGTCAAGAAGTCATATAACGTAGTCTTGTCCCAGTTTTATTTTCAATGATAAGTTAAGCGAAGAGAAAATACCCTATAAACAACCAGGGGCTGGGTTCACACATTGTGTATTGTTCCTTCCCCTTCCACACCTAATCATGACATCAGTGTCCTGGCAACATCTTTTTCTGATGATTCTGGATGACATCTCCCTCTTTTCCGCAGGAAAAAAAGTCAGGTTCAAGTCATCCTTACTGCTATCACTCTTAAAGTAACATTCCCCTCACACAGATACACACCTTATTTGAACACAATCCAAGGACAGCCTAAAGGTATATAAAATCTGTCAGGTTTTGTCACCAATTATCTTTGGGAGAAGTTAGATGACTGGCAGTAAGTGGGAACAGAGTCAAGAGACTTAGTATAGCAAAAAGAAAATAGATTTCATACCAGTATAATTTTATCCCTACTCAAAGATTGGTGGGCAGTACTTTAACTCAGCACAATGGGAAAGTCTCATGACATGGTTCATTTACTTTTGACTGAATATAATGTGCAAGCACAGCCATTATGATTGGTAAACCAAGGTTTATAAGTGTGCATGGTATATTAAATCCTTCAGGGAAAGTAATGTATTAAAGGATGTACTATGTAAAAGAACATAATAATAATTAGAACTCAGATAGCTATTCACTAACTGTAATAGCAACTGTGGTTCAAAACTGTATATGACTTTTGCTTTAATTTTCAAACATACAAATTGATTTCTTGTCCTTCTGATTTATTTGCAGATAAGGAATTATATTTTCACAAATCTAGAAATAACATATTTTTAACTATTGCAAATATAAAATGCAGGTGAGACCTTTTAGTGAAATTTGTACAAAGCTTAGCATTCTCTGTGAAATAAATTGTAAACAGACTTGGTGTAGTGCATGTGACTAATATGCTGAATCCATTAATAAACCTTTAGTAATAGAACACAGCTAATATCCCAGCAAAGCCATCTGCCTGAAAATTATATTGGGCTAGCAAGGATCTATGCAGGTTAGGCAAAGATGATCTTATCATCTGCAAAATTTTCTCCATCTTTCTAAAGAATTTCATTGTTTGTGGGAATCAACATTTTAAAATCATAGCATACTGATGAGAGAGGACATTTTTATGGATGCGTGCTTATGCTATAAGCGTTTGGATGAAAGCCATGATGGCAGTATTGGCTGCCAGTTTTGAAGAAATTTCAGACAAGATGTCTTTAGTGGATTTTTTCCAAGTTCCTTCCCCACTGCTTATTCACATGCTCCCTCCTTCTTATCTAAACTGTATACCCCTCAAGACAGAAAAATGTGTTTAAGAAAGTGTTTCATCTTACTCTTGTTACAATGCTGCCTTTTTTTGGGGGGGGGATGTGACAAGAGAAATGCAATGATAATCAAAGGGAGCAGTAGCAGTGACTTCGGCAGTTGAAAGTGGGCCCTCAGCAGATCTCGTCTTCTTGAATACCTATCTGTATCTTAACATAGATTGGCATTGTAGCGTAGTGATTGAGAAGCGAGATTAATATCCATAAGTCAAGGTTGAAAATCATCCATGACATGCTATGGGTGATTGAGCACTATTTCTTTCTCCTTCATGGGATTACCTTGACTATAACAATAAATGGAGAAGAGACTGTATATGATATTTGCTTTACCTGGAAGAGCAGGAGGCATAGATATGAAATGATATGTTATATAGAAATTTCTAAGCTTCATTCCTAATAATATTTTAAATGTTTCTTTATTTGCCGAACAAAAAAGCTGTAATATGCTATACAATGCATATTCTAAATAGTTCAGGAACAGTACTTAGCTTTCAGTGTTGTGCTGGGGATCATGCACTAGGAAGTAAATAGACCTGGATCAAAGACTACAATTAAATTAATAATTTAAATTAGTTAAATGCCATGAATCTGATCATTTTCCATGCATTTAGTAATTCTTCTCTTGACCATAGGATAAGGAATAAATTGTAATCTAACTTTGAAATATTGCAAGAAATGTCTCCCATAATAGCAACTTGAATCTCCACAAATACCCAGTCAAGCCATTTGTACATTGCAGTATGAAGACCTGTTTTTGAATCAGGTAGGCTGGTTTGTAAAATCAGCCCCTGAACAGAATGAAAACTGCACATTCAAACAGAATGAATGAATAAATAAGGGGGAATTTCCTTTTCATGTAAAACTTTGATCTCAAGCATCATGCAATGGAGAAGAGTGATTGAGTGAAGAAGCAGCAATAAAAATTGTGTGCAATAAAAGACGAGTATAGAAAATCTGCACATATTGATAAGAAAGCATTAACTTGGAATCCTCCATTTGAGGAGGAAATATATTATACATAAATTATTTCCTTTAATATTTTATTGTAATCTATGCTATGTTTCTTATTATTATGATTGCATTCTTTTATTTTTACGCCATCATTTACTGCTTCTTTTAATTTTTTTAGTTTATCAGTTGTGCTGTATTCTCTGTAGACTTTTATACTGTTTTTACAATATTGTTTTATATTGTAGGCTTTTTACATAGCTCTAAAACGAGTTATAGTATGCTTTATTTTATTACATATTGCACAACGAACTCCTACAAACGAACAGTAAAGAAGTACAATAAGTCATTTGTAAATAAAGCATATTGACCAAACAATTTGAAGTTGTTGCTTGCTCAATTTTTGTGTTTTTATGTGAATATTTATACTTTATATACTGTTTCTATTTCAGTCATATGAATAACATTTAAATAGAAAAACAGACAGAGAGATTAGACAATCTTTATTCTTCTTCTATACTGTAAATTTACAGATACTGTTTTATAAGAAAAAGGAGAATAAAAGAAAAAGAAATAAACAATGCTATACAAGTAATTTATTAGCATTTAGGGAAGATTTTCTGATCTGATGCTACCATCTATAGGTCTATCTGGTGTACAGCAAGTATACATTGCTAATATATTTTCTTTCCCAACCCAGTAAAGTCTAATCAAGGCTTTATTTGATATTTTCCAGGATAAAAGCTATCTTCCCTTTTCTATTCATTATAGTGTTGGTGTCAGATTTTGTCCAAGGCCTGTTGTGTTAAACAAGATGGTGTCCTCTTTTATTTCACCTTCAATTATCAGTATATTTCAGTTTACAGAATATTATATAACAGGATAGCATTTTCCAGCTACAGTAAGCCAAGTATCATGTCATACTAAGTATCATACAGTAAAGCTAATGTTAGGCTCATGTGGCGTGTTATGGGAAACTATACAAGCTTGCTATCTCCCAGAATGTGTCACACGAGCTCTCATTTGGTCTAATAATATGGCTGACAGCTCTTTCCAACTGTGCAGTTGAAGAAATATGATAACATAAGGGTCAAAGAAAATGAATAATTTTTCCTTGGTGAGATGGTCTTTCTCTCAGTCTAGCTGAGAGAGTATCAAATTAACGAGATATTTGATAGAGAGAAATCACAAACTGCAGGAAATTGACATGGTTTCATTCCTTCCAATAAGAGCCTTGGGCCTCACATTCAAAACGGATGTAGAACACAGATTTAATATATAAAATGCCATTACATTTAACTGTTTGTGATTTCCTTCCCCAAAGTGAGCCCTAACATTTTTGAATGAGATGTTGCCTCATTTGACAATAATGTCTGTATCAGCAAAGTCCAATGTTTTCTTCTACCCAAGTAGCCAAGCTCACACATTTTGGCTTCAAAATTATAGATATTCTAACAGCGTTTATTTATGATACCAGTCATGTAAATGAATATTACTTCAATTTAATATTGTGAGATTTTAATCATGCATGCTCTTACTTCCTGGCAATTAGTGAATACTTTTACTTGTAATAAAATTAATGCATGATGGTTGGTCATTGATCCTTTATCAAAATTTTTGAAAGAGCAAGGAACAGACATTAAAGTACTTGTTTTAATTGCGATGGAACGAGAACCAAGCAATTATTCTGAATTGCTATGGGAATAGAATGATTGTGAGCATGGAACAACCTTCCATTGGAAAGAAATGAGACCTTACAGATGGAATGTTGAGTTACTCATTTCTGCATCATTATATACCATACTGTCCTAAAAGGAAATGAATAGTGGAGAACTACAGGAAAAATAAAGGCATCATAGAAATGCTCAGGAAAGACAGAAAGCTATTTTGTTTTGTTTTTTAAACACATGTAGTCTTCAGTAATTAAAAGAAGGGTACTCATTAGCAAAGCCTCTCTTTCTTTCTCATCCTGCAGCAATATCATTTTGGCTTATTTTTGTAACTTGCAGAAGTGGGGCTTAAACAAAGTTGGTTGTAGATAAAAAGTTCCTATCATTAATATTTAGAAATGGTTATCTCTAAAATTCCTTTAAAACCACCATTTATTTCCCATAAATTGGGAAGCTCTAAAGTTATGAATGAAATTGGCCCTGCAGACTCAGCTAGCTGTATCAAAACAATGGATGCTAAAGTCAAACGTTTAGCAAACCACTGATTGTCATTCACATTTTAAAAGTTCTTTTAAGGCAGAGGATAAAATATGTTCCAGGTGGCTTTTGCATGAGTAAAGAACATACTGTGTCATACTTTTTTTCCATACAGAAAACTATTTTAAAGAAATTCAAATGACCATCCTCATTTTAATGATGAAGACAGACTTAAAATAATACAAAATGAAAGTAAAAAATTTAATTTATATTAATGAGAAGTAAGAGTATACCTCCTAGGGCTTTTCCTTCAAGTGGCCGGCTTTGATTCTGTATATCATAACTTTCCCAGGTATATTCAGGTTTCGGGGATCCTTCTACAGAATTGCAAGTCAGGTTAATATTTTGACCATATTCTGGGTTTCCAATAATGTTGCACACTGGACTGGATGGACGCACTGGAAAAAGAGATGAGAAAAAAACAATAACCATGAACAGGTTCAGTAACATAAGGAGAGACGCATCAACACACACACACACACACACACACACACATATCCCATCCCTAGTCTTTAAATTTTAAGCCTACTAGTAATTCTAGTTCTTCAAATCCATTTATAAGAAATAATATTTTTTGTTAGAGAGATGCAATTTATCTTCCCTGTTTAGCTTGTTCATACAGACGTATGCTTATATAAAAATGGGGGAAATGCCACATTTTGATGACATTGCCCATGTTTCTAGAACAGTGATGGTGAACCTTTTAGAGACTGAGTGCCCAAACTGCAACTCATAACCCACTTATGTATAGTCGGGTGCCAGGTGAGCATGGTCCATTGGGTGGGTGTGGCCCATTGGATGGGTGTGGCCAATTGAGTGGGTGTGGCCAATTGGGCGGGCATGGGCCTTTGGGTGAGCATGGCTTCAGTGGTAATGGCAGATTGGGCGGGACTAAAAAGTTCAATCAATCAATTCCAACTTTGCAAGATCTTTTTTTTTCCCGTGAGAAGTTGAAATTGATTGATTGATTGAACCTTTTTTTTTGCACATGGCAGCAGAGGCCTAAAGTGAAAAGGTTTTATAAAACCCAGATTGGGGCGATGGCGCGCATGCCCACAGAGAGGGCTCTGCGTGCCACCTGTGTCACGCATGCCATAGGTTCGCCACCACAGTTCTAGAACATGTCTGAAATTCTTTCACCAGCACTTCCAGTTAAAAAGTGATTTAGCAAATGATGGGAAAGTCCTCTTCTGAGACATTGTACATTCTAGAAATCTTCACAAAAGACAAACTGGGTTCATCTGCCTTCTTGATTATTTCAATTAAATAGCAAAACTGGCTAAAACACTCAAGTGTCATCAGTACTGCTTCTCAAGTATTAGAATACAGTCTACACCCCTGCACTGTACAAAATTTTACAATATACACAACAGTGTGTGTCTATTATATTCCACACTGAATTATTGAAGAAAGTGTTTCAGACTAACTGCGGGCAGCGCTTCCTGTTTACTGTACATACTCTTGAATTAAAATATTTGGCTGGCAGTAATACAAAGGCGTGAATGCCTTACCAAGGACCAAAAGTTCTACGTCAACACTTCTTGAAGGGAATACATCTTTTATCTCGATTAAGCATTCATAAGTTCCATTGTCTTGCATGGTCACCTCATCAAGCGTAATTCTAGCATCACCATTTTTAAAATTGTTAGAGAATCTTACACGACCTTGGTAAGGTGTTAGATATTTTTCAGTACCATTAGACAGCTTCCTAGCAAATTCTCCCTAGATAAGAAAGAAGGGTACATGTTAGTGTAGCAGTGAGATTCCCACTGTTCTGCTAAAGCATAAACAAACACAGTGGGCACTGCTCTTGCTACCCTCTAGGCTTTTTGCCCTCTCAACTTATCTTTTTAAAAAAGTAATGATTATGGTGATATCGAACAAAATTTAAAAGTAAAATCTATTTATATTTCCCAGAAACCACAAGTAATTGTTAATGGAGATTTAACTAAACCATGTAAGATACAAAAAGGAATAAGGCAAGAGAGCCATTATCCTGTCTCTTACTTTAGTTCTTGAAATGTTGAATAGAGACATAAAACAAGAGAGCATCGTGGGCATAAAAATTAAAAAGAGATCACCAAAAGTTTTTGCAGATGGTTTGGGTATTGGTTCTGAAAGATCCTTAAAAGGGAATAGAATTATTAATGGATAAGTGAAAAGAATTTTGTGCATTGGCAAGTTTTAAGATTAGTAAACAGAAGGTGAAGATGTTAACAAAAGAACATCTCATCCTCTGCCATACCCTTCTCCTTTTGACTTCAATCTTTCCCCACATTTGGGGTCTTTTCCAATGAGCCCTCTCTTCTTACATGGCAGCCAAAGTATTTGAGCTTCAGCTTCAATATCTATCTTTCGAAAGAATAGTCAGGGTTGATTTCCTTTTGGATTGACTGATTTGATCTTCCTGCAGTCCAAGGGGGTCTCAAGAGTTTTTTCCAACACCACAATTTTAAATTCTTCAGCACTCATCCTTCCTTATGATCCAACTCCCACAGCCATACATTACTACTGGGAAAGCCATAGCTTATTACTCTAGACCAGGGGTAGGCAACCTTGGCTCTTTTATGACTCGTAGACTTCAACTGTTCTAGACATATAATTTTCAGGGATCAGGGATTCATGCCCACTGGTCAGTTATTTCAATTAATTATCATGTACTCTACATGGAATGAAGCTGGAACAGATTTTGGACAAGTCAACTACTGAAAAGAAGTAGTTGCCAGACCAGTGTTTAGCATGCACTTTAAAGAGGGTAACTCTGCAGACCTGAATCAACTGTATTGATTTCCAATTGTTTCTAAGCATTAACTGAGAACAGTCTTTGCTTTGTCAGCCTCTATGTAATATGATACTAGGTTATCTAAAATATACTTCCGCTTATAGGAACTTGCTTTAGTTATTAATAATGGTAAGAAAAGATTCTCAGAATCTTAAAACATTTACTGTATTTTCTCACTCAGACATCATACTTTCCCCACAAATGCATATGTATATATCTTACTGTAATGTTGTTTCCCAAAGACCTTCCTTTCCAAGAGATATGTTCTAGTGTCTCTGTAGAAGTAATTTTGAAGGTGCATGGTAGGGTGGCATTCTCTCCTCTTATCGCTTGCACTGCCTTTGAAGATCCTGATCCTGAAATGACTTGAACAGCTGCTACCACTGGCAAAGATATACACAGAGAGAAACAGAAAGGTCAGATATACCTCTATTATCATGACTGGAAAAACTGCTTTATAAATTTTGTATTCCTGAACACCTTCCCTCCAAAGCATTAAGAAAACAGGAAAAATGAACAGAAACAAAGTCTTTGAAGGAAAACCAGCTTTTGAATAGACACTACTATTAAAATACCCACTACAAAATTACCAACTAATTATACATCTAATTAAATCTACTTATTTAAAAGATTTTAAACATAATTCTGGGAGGCTCACAACAAAAAACAAAAACAAATAAAGCAAAAAATTAAAAACCCAGATGCCACAATAACCATCAACAGATACCATTATTTTACTTCAGTGATTGAGTAAAAACGCCAAGTCTTGATGTCCTTTTGGAAGACTAAACGGTGAGGGCCTCCTGGATTGTCCAGGCGATGGGAGTTCCACAAGATAGAGGCTCCCTCAGAAAAGGCAGGTTTCTAGATCCTGCCATAGGCCAGCATTTCAGGAAAGGTACCTGAAGTGTACTACCTTATCCAATCTGATGGGATGGGCAGATCCTATCAGGAAGAGGCAAAACCCCACAAATAACTTTGTCCCATGAAAGACAGCAACTTGAATTACACCTGGAAGAAAACTGGAAACCTGTGTAGCCCTTGTAATATAATGTAATGTGGGACAATCTGGGAACATATCAGCCTTCCCAGGTGGCTCAGACAGGAAACAGACCAGATGAGCTAATTCTATTTATTGTAACACTACATTAACGGAATCTTGCAAGTCTCTTTTAACTTCCTGATAACTTAGGAAGGATCATTCCTGAGCTTCTTTATGCAACTACAGGCTTTCTAGTACATCTGATGTTTCCAAGGCAGTATCTCTCCCCCACCCCCATCTCCCAAGATCATTCCCACATTCCATTACAGAGCGCTGTGCGCTATATGCAGCATTGTATTCTGAGATAGGTGATGTTCAAGGGAACACCCATGTACAGTGCATTGCAATAAATGAAATGGGACATGATCAAGGTGTGACTGGTTGTGAGCAAGGCAAGAAAAGGTACAATTGGCACACAAGATGAATCTGTGGAGAGCTTCCTTTAGCCACAAGTGTTACTTACTCTTCAAGCAGGAGTTATCCAGGAAGACCCCCTAATCGTTTATCATCTCAGTCCAGGAGAGTGGAATCTCATCCAGAATCAAAGATGACACATCCCCAGATGCTGGGGGGCCCAATTCCTAAAACCACTCCCTCTTGCCAGGGTTGAATTGAAGTTATCCAGAGCCTCACAGCCTCCATCAACTCTCTGGTTTGGAGACGGCATGTACTGCATTTCTGTCTATCATTAGTCTACAGATGATATTGTACTGCATGCCATTGAATGACATCACCTAGTGGTTTCATGTAGATCAGTATATCCCTGCCTTGGCAATTTCAAGAAGTATTAACTTTAAATCCCAGAATTCCATAGCCAGTATAGTTATTGTTGAGAATTCTGGGCATTGAGATCCATACACTTGGAATTTGCCAACGTTGGGAAACAGTGGTGTACATGTTAAAGAGACGAGATGAAAGACCGATCAGTGCAGGGGCCTAGGATTCAACCTCCTCCCCACCACAACACCAACTGGGACTGGCCATAGGAGAGGAGGAGGACCACCACAATACAGTGCCTTTGTATTGATATCTGAAGCAGGTCCAGAACAATACCATGATCGATAGAATTAAAAGCCACTGGGAAACCCAGAAGACCCAGGATAGTTGCGCCATTCCCTGTCTTGAGCTCTCTAAAGATCATCTTCAAGCATGACTAATTATTTCAATACTGTATGCCAGTTTGAACCCACATTTGGGATAATCTGTTTAATCTAAGGCCACTGAAGTTGAGTAGCAATCACTTTCTCAATACCCTTATCACAAAGGAGAGGTTCAAGATAGAACAAAAGTTGTCTAACATAGCTAGATTGAAGGATAGTTTCTTCGGAAGAGAAGAGTACTGCTTCCTTCAAGGCAAGTAGTACAATTCCCCTACCCCTAAGAGAGGTCTTAACCATACATTTGACCTAGCCACATGCCACCTCCTGGAAGGCCCTAGCTAACCAAAGGTCATTGGTCCAGAACATAGATGGCAAAGCTCACATCCACAACGACTTTGCCCATTTCCTCAGGATCAAGCAATTCAAACTTCTTCCAGATAATAAGAGGAAATATGTCTTGGTGACTTCCAAAAGATCTGACCAGTTAGAATCTAATTCTGGTAGATTCTAAGAATATTCCTTACAACCAGTAGTGGGATTCAGCCATTTAGCACCAGTTTGGCAGAACCAGTAGCTAATTTTTTTGTTGTCCAGGCCCAGAAGCGGCATCCACACAGAGAACCGGTTGTTCACATATTTGGATCCCATCACCGCTTATAACAGCCCTGCAGAGCTTATCAAGGATTATTCAATTCTTTATATGTTACCTTTTCTTCAAGATCTTACCTCACTAATCTAGCAAATGCTTTGCATGTAGAAAATCCCATGTTCAACCTCAATAGGTGGACTAATTCATTTTGTGTGAAAGTTTTTTAGATGGCAGCAAAATCTTAGTACAATCAACAAGAGATATTAACAATATATTTGAACCATTAACAACAACAACGGAACAAGCCAAAAATAATTCAGAAAAAAAAGAGAATAAAAAAACTGGATTAAACAGTAATTCTTATTTCATAAGTGTAACTGATTTGATATTATGAATAAATTCAAAATATCTAAACAAACCTTAACTGACAGAAGACCCCATTTAGAATAAAAAGGTTCTTTTCAAAAATAAAAAAGGAAAAAGATTTGTCTTCAAGAGATACAGTGAGGGAAAAAATTATTTGATCCCCTGCTGATTTTGTACATTTGCCCACTGACAAGGAAATGATCAGTCTATAATTTTAATGGTAGGTTTATTTTAACAGAGAGAGACAGAATAACAACAAAAAAATCTAGAAAAATGCATTTCAAAAAAGTTATAAGTTGATTTGCATTTTAATGAGTGAAATAAATATTTGATCCCCTATCAATCAGCAAGATTTCTGGCTCCCAGGTGTCTTTTATACAGGTAATGAGCTGAGATTAGGAGCACTATCTTAAAGAGAGTGCTCCTAATCTCAGCCTGTTACCTGTATAAAAGACACCTGTCCACAGAAGCAATCAATCAGATTCCAAACTCTCCACCATGACCAAGACCCAAAGAGCTGCCCAAGGATGTCAGGGACAAGATTGTAGACCTACACAAGACTGGAATGGGCTACAACACCATCACCAAGCAGCTTGGTGAGATGGTGACAGCAGTTGGTGTGATTATTCGCAAATGGAAGAAAATAACTGTCAATCTCCCTCGGTCTGGGGCTCCATGCAAGATCTTATCTCGTGGAGCTTCAATGATCATGAGAATGGTGAGGAATCAGCCCAGAACTACACAGGAGGATCTTCTCAATGATCTCAAGGCAGCTGGGACCATAGTCATCAAGAAAACAATCGGTAACACACTAAGCCGTGAAGGACTGAAATCCTACAGCGCCCCTAAGGTCACCCTGCTCAAGAAAGCACATGTACAGGCCTGTATGAAGTTTGCCAATGAATATCTGAATGATTCAGAGAACTGGGTGAAAGTGTTGTGGTCAGATGAGATCAAAATCGAGCTCTTTGTCATTAACTCAACTTGCTGTGTTTGGAGGAGGAGGAATGCTGCCTATGACCCCAAGAACCATCAAGCATGGAAGTGGAAACATGCTTTGAGGATGTTCTTCTACTAAGGGGACAACTTCACCGCATCATATAAGGAACTGTTGCTGGAATTGGGCATGTCTAGTTTAATGAAGAGAAGGACTAAGGGTGACATGATAAAAGTGTTCCAATATCTCAGGGATTGCCACAAAGAAGAGGAAGTCAAGCTATTCTCCAAACCAACTGAAGGCAGGACAAGAAGCAACGGATGGAAACTAATCAAAGAGAGAAGCAACCTAGAACTAAGGAGAAACTTCCTGACAGTGAGAACAATTAATTAGTGGAACAGCCTGCCTCCAGAAGCGGTGAATGCTCCAACACTGGAAGTTTTTAAGAAGAGACTTGACAGCCATTTGTCTGAAATGGTATAGTGTTTCCTGCCTGAGCAGGGGGTTGGACTAGATGGCCTCCAAGATCCCTTCCAACGATGATGGTGGTGGTGGTGGTGGTGGTGGTGGTGGACAGGGCCATGTACCATCAAATTTGAGTGAGAATCTCCTTCCCTCAGCCAGGGTATTGAAAATGAGTCGTTGATGGTTATTCCATCATGACAATGACCCCAAACACATGGCCAAGCAACAAAGGAGAGGCCAAGAAGAAGCACATTAAAATCCTGGAGTGGTCTAGCCAGTCTCCAGACCTTAATGCCATAGAAAATCTGTGGAGGGAGCTGAAGGTTCGAGCTGCCAAACATCAGCTTTGAAACCTTAATGACTTGGAAAGGATCTGCAAAGAGGAGTGTGACAAAATCCCTCCTGACATGTGTGGAAAAGTGGTGGCCAACTACAAGAAATGTCTGACCTCTGTGATTGCCAACAAGGGTTTTGCCACCAAGTACTAAGTCATGTTTTGTGAAGGGGTCAAATACTTATTTCACTCATTAAAATGCAAATCAATTTATAACTTTTTTGAAATGCATTTTTCTGGATTTTTTTGTTGTTATTCTGTCTCTCACTGTTAAAATAAACCTACCATTAAAATTATAAACTGATCATTTCTTTGTCACTGGGCAAATGTACAAAATCAGCAGGGGATCAATTTTTTTTTTCCTCACTGTATGTTCAAAGGATTATGTTAATTTTTTAGAATGTGGGATTTGGAATATAGAAATTCAGAATGATATACAGAGATTATTACAGTTTCAAACTGAACAAGGGGGAAATTCCTTATTGAAATTGCAAAGGGAGATATTTTGATTCTTGGCGGTATGGATTTTTTTTCCCCTCCATTCTCTATT